CCATGCAAGATGCTACCACAGTGGATAGAGAATGCAATGGTGGAACACAAATACTCACCATGCACCATCACAAGATGCTACCATGTGGATAGACAAGCAGAGTGTATGCAATGGTGTAACAAAAATTGCACCATCAAAATGCCACCATGGTGGGCAGGTATAGTGCAATAGGCCCATCCATTTTCCAAAAAAAATGGATGTTTTTTGATACAAGGCAGCGCACTAGACATATCAGCTACGTTGGGTCTTTCGTTTCTAGCATTGCGTTTTTTTTACATTGGTTGTGAGGGCATTTTGTGCACATGTTGTGTGTGTTATGTATGTTAAAGGGCAACATGTTCAATGTTTTCATCCTTCCCAAGTTCAACACCAACATTGGAGTGAAGGAAAGAACATCTGGCAAAAGGAGGACCAACAAAAGGGCAATGGCAACCAACATCACATGAAATCAAATCTTCCCCAACCATGTGTTTTTTTTGATGGTGTGGTTAAAACAAAAGTTGCAAACACACATGGGTTGGCAAACTGTTCATGAACTCATTGCTTGGCACATGCCAGAAACGGTAAAGATCTGGATTTTTCCCACTCCACAACTCCAAGGTCCATCACTTGAACTTGAAGATCACTGCACTCTTGTCAGTGCCAAATCTGCTAAGTAGCGTCAAACCCCACGCGTATGATACCAGATCCTTTGGATCCAACCTTTACCCAAAAACTGTCTACAACTGGGTGCCTTGGCGCCCAGCCATAAAACTGGCACGCTCAGTGCTGCTCATCCATGCCTTGTGCGCCTCCTCCAATGTACCCTTCTCATCACGCAGGTAGGCTCGTACCTGAGAACGTCGTGTGCGCAATGGAGATGGGTTAGAACCGTTCAACACCAAGATTTAAAAAACAAACATTTCCCAAAAGTGTTCATTTAGTTTCAGATGCAAATTCCCATTGGGCCTTTTGCATTGGCGATTGCTTTGAAGATGATGACTTGGATGCTGATGATGAAGCTTTGGATTTCGGTTCTTTGCACGATTTCGCCGGAGAGGCTTCCTGCTTCAACGTCTTTCGCACAACCTTGCAGTGAGATTTCACTATGGAACAGTTGCATGAAGGGTGCAAAAACAAACAACTCCTTAGCTGATGTTTTTGCTACACTAAGCCAAGGGACTCCCTTGCTCACATATTTCTGATGCCATTCCCTTGATTTTGCTCGCTTTGCATTTGATCGTTCTTCCAAAATCTTGCTGCGAGTGTTCGGGGAGGTGTCATTGGTAATGCGGGTGGAGTTGTTCTTCTCCTAAACAAGGAACACATATAGACAAACAGTTGCAACTGTATCCATGTCAGGTGGTTTCACAAAGAGTATTTGTCAAATGTGTCCTTTTCATCAGCAGCACTTCCACCATCAGCATTTTCATCAGCTTTTTCACCTGAATCAGCCTTTGAGTGCTCATCATAATCACCCAGATCTTGTGCAACACTCATAGCTCTTGGTAAATGCCGCAACCGCTTGAAGACCTGTCCACAAAGCAAGCAAAAACACCATTGAAGGCATCTAAAACTCCACCAGAAGTGTGAACCAACACTGAAACATGGAAAACAACCAAACAATATGGCCTGGTTTCCAGGTTTTTCAACGTCCATCTTGTCCGTCTCATCAGCCACCTTTGTCGCAAGCTCCTCCGGCTTGGCCAGCCCCTCCACTGGAACCTTGTTGGCAATCTCTGGCTCAGCATCCATGCTCTCAGTCACCTCATTCAGGTGCACTTCAACATGAAAACAAGTATCCCCAAAATGCACCAAACCAAAAACAAAACACGGCACGGCACCAACGGTGGTGGTGAGGAGGAATGCTTGGGCTCAGGAGTCTGCGGTGCCATGTATCCATCAGAGGCAAGAGGAGGTCCAAACAGGTCAAACTGGCTGTCAAAGAACACGTATGGTTGCTTCTGCTCGCTGAAGTCGCTCTCAAACAGGCGTCTTGCCACATTGGCATCAGCAGCCCCCTCCATGAAGCTGTCTTGAGAATCGTGGTTCGACCTTGTGTCCATTTCAGACCCCCTCAGCGGCCTTGCCACTGTCTCAACAGGCATGGCCATCATAGGTCCCTTGGTTAAACAAACAATGATGCATCAATGCACAAAGCACAAAGCCAAAGCAAAGCACAAATAGACAAGCAATACATGCAAAAAATCAACATCAAGCAACTGAAGATTTCATGCACTTCTTCACTGTTGCACTGGCTTGAAAGCCTATAAAAAGATCTTGGCTCGTCTCGCTGGCTTGCTCCTGGGTCTTGTTGGCAGGTTGCTCAGATGAGGATGGAGCAGCTCCCATGAAAGAAGACATTTGGAAGCCTGGTTTGGGAGCTGGACCATTGACACCTGCAAGATGCTTGTTCAACAACAAAGCCTTTGAAGCTGACTGATTTGGCTCCAAATCGATCACAGGCACTGACATGGCGAGAGCGTGCTAATGACACACAAGGTAGCGTGCTGGCAGCAGGCCTTTCAAGTCCTTTTGAGAAACAATACCAAGGAAGAACATTTGCAGGAAAGCAACTGAAGCATCAAATCTTTGATGAACTGTCAAAATGGTAAAGTTCAATGTAAGTGTTTATTTGAGAGCAATATTTAGCAATGCTCTTTTCACCCCACAGCTTTGTTCTTCAAGAACGTGTTTGGCCAATGCCCTTGCATTGCGGCCAGAGGCAATCGCTTGTGATCTAATCAAAATCTGCACTGTTTGAAACTATGCCACCTGGTACTGCATCTTAGGCTCTAGGACTAGATCTGACTTGCAAAACCACATTGGCTTCGCTGGTCCAAGCGTCTTCTCACGAGCATAATGGCGCATTCCTCAGTGGACCAAGGTCAACAAACAACTGATGCAAAACAAATTTACCAAACATGGACCCAATCATACCAAGGATCTCCAAACCAGGCACAAGTACTGAGAGGAAGCCAACTTCTTGAAGCCGATGAACCCTGCAAGGTTGGTTCCCTTCAGCTTCGCTGCTTGCACCCCTGCTGGTCGGAAGACTGAATGAGTTGAGTGGCTAACCACAATGGAATCATGTTGCTCCCCACGCTGCACTGCAGGAGGCCGTTCTGCAGAATGGCCGGTCAGCTTCAAATCCAAGATTCCTCGTTTTTCAAATGAGACGAGGAGTTTGTAAACTGTCATGGGCCCGATGTCCCGAAGCCCCTGCGGGCTCTGTTCCTCCAGAAGCACCTTAGTATGATGATTATTCCAATACACAAACTCGAATGTACAGTAAAAACTTCACAAACATCAAACAGTGGTCACAAAAAAGTGTTGCAATCTTCAGAGAGCAGCAAAGTCATCTGCTGAGGACAAACGGAATTCCACTGCCTTGTTCTGGTTGCGCTCTTTGGAAATGAAGTCCTTGGCCTTGTGGCAGTAACGTGCTAGCTAGTCAACACATAGTTGAAGTATTCACAAAGAGCTTGCAAAACAACACCCAGCCCCAGCCTTTGAATCCTCACTCAGCCAGCTCCCACCGGCGTACAGCAGCAAGGGCTTTGAGTTAGGACTTGACGCTCCCAAAATACGAGTTTTGGTTGCGCTGCTCAAAAAGACCTTGTCATCCACAAGCTTGCAAGTCAAGTTCTGACCTGAACCCATGGTAATGAGTACTGTGTTCATCTCCATGTTCTTGTATTTCTGGTCGAAGGCATCGTCACTCATGGATGGTGGTGACATCTCTGCAACAAGTGCTGGCTCTGGATCCTGCAAAGGCGCTCCTCCAAGATCAAGAGCCTCATCTTTAGTAACCACTGTTGGAGCTTCCCCTGATGTTCCACTGCCTGGGGCAAACACAGCGTCGAAGTTCTTCAAGCGATTCCGCCAGTCGGGCTCTCAGTGATGAAGCCAAGCAAATGTCAAAGCAGCACATCAGGTCATCAACAAACAGAAAAGAAAACAAACACTTTTAAACAGAGGGCATAACGAGGCACTTCTGACAGGATCGCTGATCCATTTGTCCCTGATGTCTTGGGGGATCTCCAGATTGCCACTGGCATCCATGTTGCAGATCTTCAGAGCTGGCAAGCGAGGCACTGTTTGTCCACTCAGATCCGCTTCTGGCTGGTACTTCGGAGTCAGCAGTCCCATTTGGCCTTGGCCTGCTTTCCATTCCTGGAAAGGGTTCTCAAATTTGTTTGACCTAATACCTTTGGGAAAGAAAGTCATGGCATTGAACATTGTGCTCAAACCTTGCCTCCAAAAGCTTGTCTTTGACTTGAGTTGATGCATAGCCGAACAGGAGAGGATTGGTGGTTTCGGAGAAGCATCCAATGTGACACTCTGACGACAGCTCTGTCATAAGATCACAGACCACCTGCAAAATCTGTTGCAAACAAAAGTAACAAAAGTAGAAATAAGCACTGCAAACACACACCCAAGCCTTCTCCAGGTTCCCGTCGTACTGCGAAAAGTGATGCACTGTGAGGCTATGTCCCTTGAGCGATGAAACTTTGCACAAACAAGCTTCCAAGATGGACTTGATGGTTGATGGGGATGAGAACCACTGGGCACCATCCTCCTTGTCCTCAGCTGTCACCCAACTACTGCATGTTGACCTGCTGAAAAAATAACAACTTGAGAAAGGAAAACAACAAATCAGGTTCAAGGTTCGGTGAGGGAACGTCCATGTTCATGAGAAAAAAAGGTGCCGCTCTCTGGCGTCACGTATTCACCTAAGTAAGCTTCAATGAGTGTCAAATAATGGACAACACATTGTTGCAAAACCATCCCAATGTTTTCCAAACCTGAATTCAAACTTGGGCACTCAAGGGGAGTGGGTTGGACGCCTTGCATGCTGTCAAGCTCCAGAAATCACACTTGCACCAAACATTGTCATCCTGGGACTTGAGCTCAGCACCCCTTGGTGCACGGTAGAGCGTCCCTTGTTTGCATCCCAATGTACTGGCGAGCGTCACCAACCAGCCCGGGAGCATAGCAGGAAACGTCCTTATGATTGGAAGCCACCAAGGTGCAATGGCTTGACAAAGGGCTACACTCACCAATATGAAAATACCATTGAATTGTTTCCAAGTGTCCGATTGCCATGGCAATTACTGGTATCAAATACCACTTGGCAGTTCTTCATTTCCATTCCTAGCGCCATGAGCTTGTCCTCAATCCTGCGGAATTCTCCTCTCAAACCGTTCAGCACCCCATCCCCAGCCAAGACTGGGCAGCAAATGAAGATCATGCCTGACAGGAATGATGGCAACTAAGAAACCATCCTCAAGAATCAAGCACAGCAGTTCAACCAAGGTACTTAAATCCGGGTTCAGATTCAAGACCTTCAAGCACCAACTTGCCATCTCATTGATCTCTGGCATTCCAAGTCGTCCGAACTTGGTTGAGTCCAAGAAGCCGAGATGGTGCATGTGGGAAATGTCCGTGTCTGGAAAGGCAGTAGTTGCATCCTGCAAAAGCCTCCTTGTGAAGCCGGTCAGGGAGTCCTTCTGGCCTTTGTCAGTGCAGAGCATCAAACAGCGTCGCTCCATCCACCTGTCCGCCAGGCCAAGACCGATCTCGATCTGATCTCTCAGGTGGAGAACCTTGCCAACAGTGCAACACAACAGGCATGCAGTAACAACACCGTTCAACAACATGAGCCACAAAACAAAAAGGAAAAGGACAAATTGTGATGCTTCAAGTCAGTAACCTGCTGCACGTGGCGACTTGAATCCACCTGCCACAGGCAAGATACACAGAGCTACAACTTTGATCTTGTATCCTGGCCTTGTTGCGACGAAGATTGTATGATACAGCTTCTCGGAAGTCAGCTGACAAGGCACTGGTTGTGACACCAAATGCTTCCAAGAAAGCGTGTGAAAGCATGAGCAGCTACTGTCCTCAGCCACATCCACATCTGCATCAACCATTGCCGACGATCCAGCAGCTCCAGAAGCCTTCATCAATGGCTTGGCAATGTGGTCTTGGAACATGCTGAGCATCTCAACACTGAAGCGCGAAGGTTTCGAGATCAAAATCGCATCCAGGTCCTGATTGTAGTCCCTTAGCCATGCAAAGCTGTTTCCCCACCACTGGCTCACGTCCACCTAAAGCAAACATAAAAACTATAAATTCTTGGCGTAAGTGGTCCAAAGTTGCCCAGAAAGGAAAGACTCCATCATTGATTTGATCATATCTTCTGTGATTCGGCTGTCACTCATTTTCCTCACTTCAGACTCTGCGAATACTGCCAAAGCACAATGATCCACATTCTTTGCCCAATTCTCTTCAGACCACCTGTGGCGGGCCCGCATGGTCCGCTTCATCCTCTTCACGTTGATGCTCCACCACAGGTTATACTTCTGGAAGTGGAGGTGCTGAACTGCTGGTGTAACCTCTGATGTTTAAAATTCAAAGCTTGAAAGCCAGCTAAACAACAGTGCAAACTGCAAACCATATTTAAAAGCATAATGAACACAAGAACGAATACAGCTAAGAAAAGGAGCTGAAAGTACCTGTGTCCAGAATGGAGAACATCCCTTCACCGTCTCGTTGAGTTGGTGACGCTTGAGACGAAGGAGCATTTCACTGTACCCTCACCAAATCATTGTTGAGTGCAACTTTGCATACATTTGCCCAAGACACTAAAAGCCTAACACATGTACAACCACACAAAGTTTTGTTGGGTAAGTGTTCGAGAGTCCAGACTCCTCCCATTGTTCCAATCTAAATGCTGTCGGACCAAGGATCTGCTAGTTCCAGTCAACCCGATGATTATCCCCCAGATCGCTTGCTGTGCGTCCGGAGAGACTTGCCACTTCTTTATGGCCGCGTTCGCCCGAAAGTTGTTGTATTTGGACACCAGCTCAGCCAATATGTCACTTTCACTCATGTCAGTGGAAGTAGCTTTGCGCTCTTCAATCAAGCGTTCAAAACGCATGGCTGTCTTCAAGATGTCTTTCCGCTGCCTCTCTGCCCCCTGTGTGGAAAGCTGCAGATTCTCAAAGCTAACCCGCTCTGCATCCTTGGGGCAAGATACTGTGGAGGGAATGTTAAACATCTCCTGTATCGCTGGCAGAAATGGAAGTAGCAGGTCCTTGCAGGCATAGCAGAGTTCAGCTCTTTCTTACAGATTTGTTTTAAAGCAAACTCCAAGTCCTTTCCCAACACTGGGTCCAAGTCAGACGCGATCAGCAGCAGAAACAGCCCCACTGTCCTCAGGCCAGAATCCAAAGTTGCTTCAATAGTGTTGTTGAAAAGGGAATGAAAAGAATCATCACAATGAGAAAAGTGTTCAATGCCTTCCCAGTTTCATCCTTGTAAAACCTTTTTTGATCCCTAGATAGAACTGCTGGTCTGTGGTGTGGCCCGGCTGAAATTTGTCCAACTTGACAAACAGATCAATGGGCTCTCTGTGCAATCTGCAGCCTCCAAAAAGGAAGGACGTGGCTGTCGTGACCCAGTCGTTGATTGAGGGCAGCCCATCTGGTGGCGCCTTCAGCTCAATGGCAAGCAACGGACACATAGCCACCATGTGCTCGTCATCACTTGCAGTGAGCAAACTGGTGACATCCTGAAAAACATCAATGGAGCGGCAAGTGCTTTGAACCACACAGTATAATATAAAAACAAAACACAATTATGCCCAAGGACATGACATGGCACACAGTTGAAAAACAATTTCCACCACCAGGTCACTGGCGGACTTGCAATTTCCAGTTTCTTTCCGTGAGCTCGCATGCCTTCTTCCAGAAAATCCTTGCATTTAGCAATGGCTGCCCTTGCACTATCAGGATCCTTGAAGGCCTGCATCACAATATCAGCTGGGTGTGTAGATGTCTCTGCCACAGTACCTCCAGTCCCACTAGATGGCTCTGTGAACATCTCGAAGTAGGAAAGTACATCCTGCGGGTAGCTGAAAACATGTCAATCTTTTCCTTTGAGCATTTGCTGTGCAAGCAAAAATACATGTTCACACAGATGTCATGCCACAAACTCAGCAATCCTGCACCAATGTCGTGTCACCTGGGAGTTTCTTCAGTGCTGCTGTCCATTCCGATTTCCTTTTCTTTGCAGTAGGTCCAGGCTCAGCGTCTGCTTTGACCTGCCAGGTTCTCTCTTGTTTTCCAAACAAGTTAAGTTTGTCAAGGACCAGCAGAAAGAAACACAACAACATCCACAAAGTGGTTGAACAGTTGTGCCAAGCTTCTGGGGAAATCTTGGCTTCTTCGCTTTTCTCAGTCTTCTCACCCTTGGCATCTTCGTTCTTGACTGGAGTAGCTGCCGTCTTTGCAGCTGTCAGCAAAGGAAGATCCATTGCTGTTGCTGCCATGGCTTATTGCTGCTCCACAAACCGAACACACAAAATATCACAAAACATTTGTTGGATCTTGTTGCCAGGGGTTCTTGCTCACAAAATTGTCGTAGGTGGATGTTCTTTCTCACAAAATCGTCGTAGGTGCAGGTTGCTCCAGCCAGAGATCGTCGTTGTTTGGGTTCCGAACCACAAGGAAAATGTGAAGGCACAAAAGTCACACAAGTACGTGCGTTTGATTCCACCCACAAGGAAACTTTGGTCGCTAACTTTGATCAAAGTCGTCGTTGTTTGGGTCCCGACCTACAAGGATCTTCCTTTAGAATTTTTGCGGTCAAGGATTTTGCATTTTCCATAAAGTGAAAAGTCGTCGACAAGCTGTTTTTTTGGTGTTGTTTCGTCGTTGTTCGGGACCCGACCTACAAGGAAATTGTGGACGCTAACTTTGATTAAGATCGTCGTAGGTGGAATCAAGTTGACGCACTTGTCTTCATTTGTCATTTTCTTGCCAGCTCCAAGTCAGTCCCTGTGCTGACCTCCTCTCAGCCAAGTCTTCAGATGTCTCAGCTCATCTCAACCTCAGCATTATGTCCAGTGACAAGCTCAGTTTGCAAAGTTGCAAGAGCTCAGTGACAAGCACAAGTTGCAAGACTCTTTGGCTGCAGCCTTTTTGCTGGTCCAGGCTTTCAGTGGGCAACTGGGCCACTACCGTCCCCTCTTCCAAACCGCTCGAAGGGGCACACTTGGGCTCAAAGCTGCCAAGACAACAGGGTGGGGCTCCTCCCTGGCAATATGCAGAAGTTGTGGTGGTGCAGGACTGGAATGCCATGGCAAAGGCAGGATCGGATTTTGTGGTAAGGTGCCATTTGCAAGGCCCCTCAAGTATGCAGCGGCCTGCTGACTCAAGGCGCTTCCGCCCAGCAGGTTGTCAAAGATAGTTGCCAAAGCTTTCCAGTCCTTGCGAACATCTGCAGACAAGTTCCGCCTTTGCATCTCTCCTTGATTGAGCGAGTGGCTATGGTTTGAATCTGGGTCAATAAAGGCCAGAAGGTTCAAACACATAAAGAAGAACTAGCTTCTGTCAGTCACCAGCGTGAATCTTTGCAAGCTCTCGTTTGTGAGAACCAACAGCGGTGGCTGCCGCAAAGTTGTTGAAGCAATGTACTCCTTCACAAGCACGAACACGTCGTGTGGATGCTTTGCACGTCTGTTGTTGGAGCCCTCATCCAGCTCGTAGTTCGAAGGGATATCTGGGATTGTGTGCACATGGGATCACCTCCCCTACTTGCTCGTTTACAGTCTGGTTTAAACAACATTAGTTCCATTGCCATGCCTTGTCTTCTGATGAAGAAGAAGAAGTGATTAGCTGTACTGTCCAATTTCAAGCCACCTGCCTCAAACAACAAAGGAGTCAATAACTTGCGGTGGAGTTTTGAGTGTGTTTGAACCATGAAAGTTCAACCCAAAAAAGCTTTCAATATAAACAGCAAACACCTCCAAGATTCCAAGCTCAGGGGAGCGTTTGCTTCTGTATGTTGCCTCCAGTCCCTGTACGCCCGCAAAATGTGCACAATGACTCTGCCACCAACAAATGTCTTCATTGAGGGTTTGGCCAGCTCATCTCTCAGAATAGATGCCACTGACTCTGCATCTACCATTTCTGTGGATCTTGCCAGGCGTCGGCTTAACAAGCCCCAAAGTTGGTCTGCCAGCAATTTGCAATTAAAACTTGAACGTTCTAGGCACTTCTACACACACATCCAGCAGAGTTTCTTGAATTGGATTTGGCCACGCCTATGATGTCGTGTGTATGTGACACACGCATCATCATGAAGCAACTGAACCTCAGGATGTGCTGCAGTATGGAAACTGCACAAAAACAATTGTTTCTTGCCCCAAGCAACAAGATATGTGAAACGCATAAAAAGACAACAAGCCAAGGAGCTTCAAACGCAGGTGCCCTACCAAAGAAGCACCATAGAGCAAGTTTGTGACGTTCTTGAGCTCCTTCACTGTGTTGTCACCCACAATAACTATGGTGTCAGCCATTGGAGCACCAGTCTCCCTGGCGTGGGCTGCCACATCCTCTAAGGTCAAACTCAGGACCTCATGCACCATTGCCCCGCCGTGCACTGTATCCTCTTCAAGGATTGCAAGGCGCAAAACTCGTCCAAAAGCCCAGCATCCGTGAATCTTCAACCGTGGCCTAGCCAGCTTGGAAGATCTATAGCATGCTCTGAGCGACGGATGCCTTGGGACCATATATTTTGCCTGGAGAATTTCAAACAGTCATGAGATAGCGCGAACCTCACAAACATTAAAACTAAAACAATGCACCTGGTCGGCGCCATCTGTGATGATGGCCACTGTTTGTGCCATCATGTCCATGGATATGTCCTTCAAGGACCAGAAGGCACACCGGTCCGCATACTGGGCAACTAGGTGTTGTCTATATAGGCGCAGAGCACCTAACCGCTTCTCCATTGTGACCGAGCGGTCTGTGAACCTTGAAGGCCAACAAAGAATGGTAAGACGAAAGTACACACCATGGACCATGCAGTGTGAAACTTAAATAAAAATGTTTGCAACTAATGCTGATACAAGCGCTGCTGCTTCAATTCCTGGCAGATGTCACACTGTGAAAAGGTTGAGGAGTCACGGAACTTCAGGACCAGTGTCCATTTTGAATGCCAACGGCGCAAGAATGTACTGTACCTGCTAATTTCACACTGGATGACTTAGTTTGTCTTTTTTTTGAGGCTAGAAGCATAACAAAACAAAATAGATCTTGTTTATTCATGGCACGAAGATGCTTGAATCTCATGCACGGAGCACCAGCCAACATAGAATTGGTAAAGTTCATAAAATGTCCCTGGGGCCAAATATTTGCGTGTCATCCCAGACAAATCCTGATCAGTGTCAAATTAACACAGCTTCAAATTTGCTGCCTCCAAAATTACAAAGACAACAAAAATATCACCAAGCTCAAATGAGAATCATTGAAAGCTGCTGTTGACGTCATGCCCAACAGAAAAGACGTGTTTGCCTGCAAGTAGGCAGCCAAGTCAGCATCATTCTCTTCAAACTCGGAGTTGGCAACCATGCCATCAGAGCTCTCATCAGGGTCCACGTCCACGGCCTTCTGGGGTTTCTTCCTTCTTGCAGGGCCCACACGGACCAACCTGCTAGCAGGCAGTGGGAATCTTAAGCAAACACTTGAATGCCTTTCGGAAACAACAACATGTCAATGTTTCACAAGTTGGAAGGCCTGTCTGGGAGAGGTTCAGCTATGCTGTTGTAAAGGATCAATGCAAAGCTGTCGATTGATGATGAGAGACGTGAAGAACCTGGCTTTTTGGACCCATACCTTAGGTCCAGGGCTCCTATCCGATCAATACGGTGGGATGAGACACCAATGAGTGCCTCAAAGCATGTTCGTTTGAGGTACTTGTTCAGGAAATAGAATTCCCGACGAGTCTGCTTGCCATGGAAGGATGTGCCAGAATCTGATGTTGCCATGTATAAGATATTGTCTTGTTCCAACTTGTTGCACTTTTCAAATGCATCAAGAAAAGATTGTACTTCTTGAATCTCGAACTGCTGGTAGCAAGTTTTGCCAGGGCATTTGCAAGAGCCAGACAGGAGTCGACTCAACCTTTCCTTACTGATTTGTGGTCTAGATTTAAGCAAGGATGGTTCATCACTTGCCCCACAAACATATAATATACCCAACATAATGTTCCAAAAACACTCCAAGCTTCAGAGCTGTTTCGAGCAAGTCTTGTTTCCTTGGGTGGGCCTTTATTCATCTTCTTCATTGCAGCAGCTTTTGCCTCTGCAGCTCGACGTGAATTATCATAGCGTCTCTTTTTCACAGGTCTGCCTGGGGCACTTTCCTCCTTGGAGCGCTGCATGCCCAGGAACTTTGTCATCACTGCAAAGTCTAGCTGCACCAAATGCTGGTAGGACTTGTGATGTTCTTCCTCAACGTCTGCAAGGCTCCCTGAAGCACCAGAGCCACTTTCTGAAGCATCGTCTGGTTCAGAACATTCATCCTGAAAAAGGGCTGGTGTAGATTGCTGTGGCCGGGCAGCAACCGGCTCAGGTTCATCAGCTTCATCTTGGAAAGGTTGACCTCCAAAGCACTCCTCCGGCTCAAATTGATATAAAGCAGGGCCTTCATCTTCGGAAAGCTCATCTTGAAAGAGCGACATTGCGAGTCTTGCTCATCTTGAACGAGCAATACTGCAAGTTGTGGAGGAAGCATCTTTAGTTAACATTCAAACAATTTGTTTTGAAGGATCACTTGGAATGTCTAGCCTTTGGCTTTTCCAACATTAACCTTTGAGAGGACAGGCAACAGGAACAGAAAGCTGAATCATTGCTGAAAGCTGAGTCATTGCTAAGTCTGCTCCTAAGAGCTTGGCGTACGCATCTCCTCTTGCTTGGCACAACTCCACCATTTGCCTCCAGCATGTTGGATAAATTGACTTTCTTGAATGGCTTAAAAGATTCCAAAGAAACCAACATGTGGCCTTGGGCTCCAAGCAGAGCATTGCCTGCCATTGAAAAAACCAATGACTCAAAACATCAAAGCAACACAAAGCTGCCAGGTGCACCGCTAGCAACACAAAGCCAACACTCGCCACGTCCATGCCGTTCCCAGCCATTGCAACCTTCACCAAATATGGAGAAGACGTGCAACATCAAACCACACAGACAAAGAGCAAAGGCCTTAGCATGGTTTGACATTTGCTCAAGGTTGGGCTGCTTCACCCCAGCGGATTTGGCCAAAGCTTCTGTGGCAGGGAAGCCCATCGCCACCAACATCTCCAGTCCAGTCAGTGGGCGGTTGTGATGCT